TCCCTTTTTCTTCTACCACTCTACCACCCTCCCCCTTCCCCCCTTCCGCCCTGATGCTGATTGCCGGCCAAGCAAGGACTCCCTCCCTCTCAAGACCAACCACGCATCAAATACGACCCCATGGATGGAGGAACAGCAAAAGGAATCGTAGGCAGTGTAAGGAAGGGGCATGGAGCAGGAGGACCAGGGCTATACCCTCTGCAGTCGCAGGGCACTTGGATAATACTGGGAGACTGGGAGGGAAGGTTCAGACCGGTTTCAAGTTTGAGACGGAGGCAACAAGGTGGAGCCACGACAGTGCCACACACCTAAGCTGACATCCAATCTCAAATTGTTACTGCACCCCATAAGAATGCAGACCAGATAGCAGCAGGCAATAGGTGGAATGACAGTCTTCAGGACTCAAGGGTTTAAGGGTTTAAGGGTTTAAGGGTTTAAGGGTTGAAGGGTTGAAGGTATAGGAGACCCGCTGCAACACTCGGCCGTATCGGTAGCATAATTGGGTTGTTTAGAATTAGCCCACTGACAAATGGACTAACAAATACACATGCATGTATCATAGGAACACACTCAGTAACCGTCAACCACATCAACCACATTATACACAGCACTTTGTGACACGGAACATGAAACACATGTGACAACACCACCACCTATACACAGCATGTGCCAACACCCTATAGAACATGTACAGGCATAGACACATCAGCATATGGCATCGAGTACATAAATAGTAATGGATAGTATTTGTTGTTAACAGGTTACAATAACAATACTGGGTCATAATAATAACACTATGAGCAACAGCTCGCTGAAGTCTACATTTAGAACAGAACCGAAGGAGGGATGGCCCCTTTGTCACCAGGCCCCTCAATCATACTGACAACTCATAATTGCATTGCTTTCGTTTCATAGCTTTATTTCTTACATTGTACTCGACAGGGATGCTGGACCCGATTTCCAGCAGGTGTTGCTCCCCACCAATAGATGGAGCCTCCCCGACGGTGCTAGCGATGCCTGCTCTTATCAGCACACCTAGCACCCGACCGGGTTGTTTCAAAAAAAAAAAAAAAAAAACATACACACAGCATAATCCCTACTTTACCTTTCCCCAACCACATCAACAAACAAACTACGGGCTGCACCCCCTTGCCCTCACGGTAAATCAATATTACGGGAACCCCGTAGCAGCCACATCCCTGCTCAACCCTCCAATGAAGGAACTTGCGGGCGCTGCAACCACCAGCAGGTGCTATATCTGCTACAGCAGGTCAGCTATACCGGCCAAGGGTCAGCCGGTAGCATCAGGACCAAGCTTCTTCGATGGGCGGCCAGTCGCTGTGCCTCCCCTCCCCTTGCTGTGCCTCCTGCAGTCTCCCTACCAGTCGACTGGATGGGCCAGTCCCTCCGTCTTAGGCCTGATTCTACCTACCTCACAGCAGACCTGCAGTTGATGATGCGAAAAAAAAAAAAAAAAAACAGGCTGATCCGATTTGGGCACAGAGTGGTCGGGAGACCGCACACTTTGTTCGTTGACTATTTGCTGTGCGCTGGCTGACGCGCCGGTTAGACCTCCGGCAGGTGCACAGAGGGTCCCCACCGCAGCGTGCTCCCTGAAATAATTGTTGTCATCAACATCACCTCCACTCCTGCAGTGCTGGTCCCCACCATCGCCCGTATACCCCGACAACAACCCCATCTGCCTTCGCTTTCTTACCATTCGTCCCACCGCAGCGTGCTCCCGGAAATAACCGTTGTCATCAACATCATCTCGGCTCCTGCAGTGCTGGTCCCCACCATCGCCCCTAAACCCCGACACCAACCCCAGCTGCCTTCTCTTTCTTACCTTCGGTAAACTTTTGCGTAGCCGCGGAGGGAAGTCGTTATCACAACTTAGCCGAAATCATGGTGAGGAACTTGCCTTTCAAGCCTACATAGACTGAGTAGCATAGGGGGGGGGGGGGGGG